TATTAGATATATTTTCTAATTCACACTATTAATCGTCCTATTCTTCAGGGTGTGGAAAAGTATTTATAAATGGAGAAAAGTGTTTATTATTCTAAAGGGATAAGTGTTTGCCATTTTAAATAACAGAAAGTTATGTTATTTTAAGAGAGATAAAAACACAGAAAATTTGAATTTTAAATTAAAAAAATCATCTACTTTCTCTCTCTCATGATTTTCATTTTTCTATTTCCTTCTCTCTCCTAAAATGACATAACTTATGTCATTTAAAATGACAAACACCAAACCCTATTTTAAATGATATAAAATTATGTCATTTTAAGAGAAAGATAGACACCAAAAATTATATTTTTATTTAAAATTTAAATTAAAACAAAAACCATTCACTTTCTCTCTCATGATTTTCATTCCTCGTGTCTATCTCTCTCTTAAAATGATATAATTTATTCATTTAAATAACAAACACCAAATCCAAATAAATATGATATGATGACAGATTTTTTATTGCGGGGTTACATATGATCGCTGATTAAAAGCCACGTTGCGGAAGAGGTCAACTTCAGTTGGGCCCAGCATGATGTAGCACTACGGAGTTTGCGTGGGCATTTGGTGTGGTTTCTCTTCAATCTTGATTTTGCATTTTTTTTTTTTGTTTGACCAGACAATGAGTTAAAATAAAAAAGGGTACGTTGATGGCAACGTGGTTTCGTCATGATCGTACACGTGGTATAAATCTGGTGAAGCCCCTTCTAAGGTGGGGTTGACATGGTTGGTAGGAAATCCAGAGAAAAAGACGCTTTGCGTTTCGAGGAGGCAGGCCAAGTGGCTTCTTGTGAGTGGACCTTTATGGGTAGTGGACCTTTCTTCACGCAATTTCCTTGAAACTTCAATTTAATTGATACTATTTTAATAAAAGTATCGTGTTTATCATTTTAAATGACATAAGTTATGTTATTTTAAAAGAGAAATAGACATAAAAAATGAAGATCATAGGAAAGAGAAAGTGGATGATTTTTTTTTAATTTAAAATTTAAATAAAAAAATTTATTCTGTGTCTATCTCTCTTCTAAAATGACATTTTATGACGTGTCTTTCTTCCTTTTAATAAATAACGCCAGCACAGCAGTGAACAACATGTTGACGCTAAAATACTGGCATTCTCAGCCACGAAGCACGAGTATTACTGTATTAGTACAAATACGACAGTAAATATCAATATCAATTATATCATGATCAGTGACCCCGTAACTTTGATCGAGATTGTTTTTGGCATTTCATTCTTTAAAAGATACGGGTATTCTTTAGTCAAGTAATACAAAATATAGTTATATATTTAGGATTACCCTCAAACAAAGAAGAAAAAAAGTGTAATTTATGTGAAATCCTAACAATAAAAACAAGCACGGGATCTCGAAAAAAAAAAAAAAAAAGACTGGGGAGAATACAAGAGACAAAAGAATAAAAGATTGTTATATTAATCTTTTACATTAAGCTTAGAGAATTTTAATCATCTTGCCAATAACATTTCTTTCTTAGTTTTTTATTTATTTATAAAACCTTGATTTATAGCTTTGTTTAATATATTTGAACATTGTACTATTTTTTTTTCATGATTCTAATTTTCTCATTGTACTATATGAAAATAATATTTCTAATGAAGTAACGTGACGATTTTCCAGTTTTGACTTCAAATAATGGTTTTTTTCTTTTTCTTTCAGTGAATGCAAATAAATTATTTGCATTGAATTATAAACTATATTATTTTGAAATAAAAATTAAGATAATTTTGTAATTATAATTTATTTTAAGATTATAATAATTTTTATCATTTTATTTTTTTTTAATTTTTCAATCCAAAATAATATCTTTTTTAGAATGAATATAAATAAGTTATCTATATTAATTGTAGAAACATTAAAACCTCAAATAATTTCTTGTTATTTTTATTTTGATTTTGTTGTAAACAGTTCTCTTTTGCCAATAATTTCAATTTCTATTTTCTATCACTCCTTTTCAGACATACTTTGATAGAATTAAAGGCATCTTAAATTTATGGATCTTTTTAAAAAATAGAGCTTAAGAAAATATGAGTTTTTTTTACTTATATATGATTTTTATTCATCTCATTAAAAAAATAACTGGAAAAAAAAAATTCTCTTTTTCCACCGTCAATGTAGATTATTTATTTACATCAAGTTCAAAACGATGTTGTTTTGAAGCGAAAATAATTTTTGTAATTACAATTTATTTTAAAGTTATAATAGTCTTCTTCGTTATAATTTTTAAATTTTTTAACTCAAAACAACGTTATTTTAGGAACAAATGTAGATAAATTATGTACATGTACTCTAAAAACATTAAATCCATAAAAAAATATCCATTGGCTTAAAGAAATGTACTAAAATGCTAAGGTACTTAAAAATCTTTTTGATATACCACTGGCGCAAAATTTTCAGCAAGAATTCCGTGATTCTCATCCATTCAAGAGCTCAAGAGTTGTCCAATCCATGCTTTTTATTGAGATTAGTATAATTTCTATACGTATTTTACTTTTATGAACATATGTTTTATGAATTTTCGTATCAAATTACATTAATATTTTAATTAATTATTCATTAAAATGAATTTTTACTTTATTAATTTATTTAATTAATATTTAAATCATTTTGATAAACATTAAACATTATGAAATATCAATGAATCACTAATAAAAGGAGGTAGGAAAATTGTTTTCCGGCAGACACATTAAATCCAACGGCAAAAAATTAATTTAATGCTTTTTAATAAAGTATTTATGCATTTATTACAGTTTTTGAAAAATTTACACATTTATTGCACAATGTGACGCCCCTTTGAGGCGTCACACCCTAAGGAGAGAAGCCTCAATGTGGCGTCACATGTGACGCCCAATTGGAGCGTCACAAGTGCGGCCCTACATATTCCCCTACCACTCTATTCACTTTTCACACCTCTTCTCTCACTCTTCATATCTCTTCTCTACCAACAATTCTGACATCATATATCCCTTATCTTTAATTTAGTATTTTCATTTTATTTCTAATTCTATTTAAGAATGAGTTCACATCTTAATTCTGTTCGTGTTGTGTTGTTATATTACAATGGAAGGAAGGTAGAAGGTCAACGATGTGTCATGTTTGAAGGTGAAAAAAGGCCGACACGTATTCAACGCAACGCAACCATTGGTGAACTGCATCAAAGAATTCGGCAAAAGCTAAGTCTTCAAGGCAACCAATGTATCACTCAGATCACGACAAGGTTATGGCAATGTGACAAATACATTAGTTTGTAAGTGGTTGACGATGAAGAGGTGGAGATGACAATGGAAGAATTTTTCAACCAGTCAAGGACAAATTTTCTGGAGTTGTATGTCGACATCGCCACAACGGAGAATGTTCCATTACCGGTGAGGTCAGTTGATTTAAATTCTCCCCGTCTTCCATCAACGTCTGTCGCTCATGCGTCTCTAGTTGGTAACATTTTGAGGGAGATGAAAATGATCCGACCTGGGAAATGCATGACGAAGATGACGACGACGATGATGAAAATATCGCAATGGAAGAACGTCTTCTGGCGGAGGATGCTAGTGCTTCAGAAGGAGATGAAGGTGATGAGAAGGGTGCGTCTCAAATCCCAGTATACCTTGAAGCAGTGGTCGCGCAAAAGCCGCAATTGCATGACGTTGCGTCTGCCCCATTAGGAAATCATCATGAAGGTAATTGATATAATTTGTATATACTTGATTTGATACCTGATTTAGGAAGTTTGTATTAAAAAGTTTTAATTATCAGATGCAGGTGACGAAGTTGTTATTCCTTCTAGGGATGGAATTCCGTATTATTCGTACATTGATTGGAGTTATCGGAGAGAACAAGAATCATGCACTGATGGTACAGTTTCAGGATCGGGTTCAATACAAGATCTGTGGCAACTGGGTGACAAGTTATTTGTGAACCACGAATTTGCAACAAAAAAATGTCCAAATGGAGATGAATCACCATTTGAAATTAATGACATGTAACAACACATTTTATGTACAAATTAATTAAGCAATGCCCTAATTTATTATAAAAAGTATTAAGCATAAACCCTCCGTTTTTACTACAATCGTAATTAATGTAATAATATTAATACGTAGTACAGTAATTTATTTGTAATTAAATAATAATAAAACTTCGGATACAAATTAAATCATACTAACATAATACATAACCCTAAGTATTATGTTAATTTCATAAATATGTACTAATAATAACGCCTAAGTGACTACAAAATTATTAATACACTCTCGCATTAATAACATCATACACAATTTATGAAGTCACTATCACTATTTTTTAAATCACTAATTAATACGCTAAACCCCAATGCATAATTAAATATTAATAATAATAACTATGTAACAAAAAATTACTAAATCATTACAACATTCATAGCATGGTACAAAATTTCTAAGTGACTATCCTTATGTTCTAAGTCTCTAATATAGGATAAATCTTAACATGTTCGCAAGGTAGCACCGCAATTTAAACGTATACATAGCAAGTATTACGAATTTACCTAAGTTGGCAGAGCTTTGCTACGAAAATTTCCGCGTTCGGTCGGGAGCACAATCCGTGGTTAGAGAGAGGTGAAATGGTAAGAGTGAGAAGTAAAATGGTAAAAATGGAGGTATATATAGGGCTCAAGTGTGACGCCCCATTGAGGCGTCTCCCCTTAGGGTGTGACGCGTGAAGGGGGCGTCTTATGTGATGCCCAAAAGGGCGTCGCATTGTACAATAAATGTGTAATTATTTTTAAAACTGTAATAAATGCATAATTAATTTATTAAAAAGTATTAATTTTTTTTTTTTTCCTATATCCAACTAGGAAATCCAGGAGAAAGTCAATTTTGTCATGCAGTGCTGCTTACCAATCGAAACAACAGGGACCCACAAGTCCATAAGACCCAAGTAAAGAACAATTATAGTAACTACAAGGTATCAACCTTTGCCACTCTACCAGGTTCAGTAATTGACCTCGCATGCCATGCAATCCATGATCTCTCTTTTCTTTTCTTTTTTCCCCCCGTTTCATCTAGTTTCCTATTTGAAGTTCATTGTGAAATTAAATCCAGAATTACATTCTCAACTAGAGTACATTATTTAATTACATGTGAACCAAAAGTTTCATTACAATGAAACAAAGTGGGGGCGAAAACCGCCAATTTCAATCCTAATAAAGCCATAGCCATTTCGGGTAGAGGGTGCCATTGCTCAGACATATTAGTGATTACGCACACAAGCAATCACCCATTTTTAAAGTCTTAACAAAAATGGCAAATACTAAACATACATGGAAGAGACACACACACATTCACACATGTCTTATATATAGGGAAGAAAAGTCAGAAAGACCATTCCCAAAGGGCATGATGATCTTCCTCCGGAAATCCAAAATTACACGAACTTTCTGGCTGGTCGGAGTAATCCACATCTTCAAGTTTTGCAAAGATGTATGAAGGCAAAAGGGTCTCGCTCAAGTTGTCTTCTTCATCCTGTGATTGGTCTGATTGATCATGTTCAAATACATAAGAAGAATCACCTGGCTCTAACACTGCAGAGTGAACACCATCCGTGTAATGAGGGCTATCAGAATCCAAAATGTCACTCCTTGCTGAACTAATATCTTCCTGTTTACAACCCCCAACAGAGACTTTGGATCCTTCACCCTCCGAAACTGAATCAAGTAAAGGCTTTTGGGGTGCTTCCTGCAATTCGTTTGTTTCACTTTCACCCTGTTTAAAGTTCCCCCCTTGTTTCTCTCTTGCAATCACCTTTTCAGTGAGGTTCGCTACCTGAATTGAAAGAAAGATCACACGCCATATAAAGAATCAATTCAACCCAAAGATTTAAATTGATGGATAGATGAATATAGAATAATGATTTTATATATCTCTGACATATCACTCACATGAGAAGCTACTAAATTTGAAAAATGGATAATACACGGACTCATCAATACGTGCTAAGAAATTTCACAAGACTTAATTAATTATTAATTAAATAGAAACGATAAGGATTGAATCTGTGACACCAAAACTTTAATATCATTATGTAAAGAATCAAATCAACAAAAAAAAAAACTATATGCTACGAGTTGTGTGTTAATATAGAATTCAACATAGATGAAGAAGTGGCATTAATTAATTAAGGGTTTTATAAGAGTTATGTTGTAGGAAAAGTGATTGTGTTATGTTATAGAGATTCGTTTTGCGTGCCGAAATTTATTTTTTTTTTGCTGCGGGCCCCACAAAATGTTGTGTGTGTAGGAAAATTTTTGTGGTCATGTTAAATGATAGATGATAAACCCATTAATTAATTTACCTCAGCTTTTAACTTGTCTGTCTCCTTGAGGAGGTTGTCATAGTTGGTCTTAAGACTCTCATAGTTATCATGCAGTTCTTCATAATCCTTCTCAAGCTGTTTTGTCTTCCACCTTGCTCGGCGGTTCTGAAACCAAATAGCAACTTGTCGTGGCTGCAAACCAAGGTCCTTGGCTAGCTTGGTTTTCCTCTCGGGTTCGAGCTTGTTCTCCTCATCGAAGCTTTTCTCAAGAAACTGAACTTGTTCAGCTGAGAGACGCCGCTTCTTCTCCGCTTGATGAAAGTATAATTCGTCCATCCCATCATCACCATTTTCATCCATTTCAAACGCTTGGAAGAAAGACCTATTATTATTACACCGCTTCCCTCCTTGAACATCTTCAAAACTCACCATGGATCTTGAACCTGAACAAAAAACATCATCTACTAGTTAATTACAAGACTCAAAAAATCCATTGATCAGCAGAGTAAACAGAATTAGTTATAAGAAAAATTGAAAAGAGAGAGTATACTGACCGAGGAAAGGAGCAGAAGTAGAAAGGAAAAGAGAATCAAGAGGTTCAGAAGTGGCACGACCAGTTTGATTCTGAAGCAAACAATTATTATTCATGTTGGAAATATTAGCATGAGAAGTGGTGAAGACCCTCCCACCCGCCATGTCACGAAGCTAATTAAAACTCCGACCAACTAGTTAAGTAGTCATCAAAGCAGGTTAAAGGTTGAGCTTGAATTGATTCGAATTCAGTTTCTAAGATTTATGGCGAAAGAAGCTGGTGATAATGATCTCGGTGATGTGGGAGGTGTGGGAACAGCGGCAGGGCATACCCATCACTCAGAAGAAGATGAATAAGGGAGAGCCAATTCTAACACCTCTATTGAAAGAGAGATTAATCAAGAAATTAAGAGATGGATACAGACACTGACAAAGAGACAGAGAGAAATACAGAGATGCACACAGAGAACCAGTGGCTCTATTTCTCTTTGGATTTCTGAGAAGAAGAGACTCCCTTGGGTTTATAATAAACTTGTTTAACTGGTATTGGAATGTCTTCTTACAATGATGCCCTTTCAGTGTATCACTATGTGATGTAATGTTAATGGGTTTAGTTGGTATTTCTTACCAACCATTGCTTCTGATATTATTCTCTCATATGAATGGGTAGATGAGACCACGTGAATACGAGAGAAAGGTTTTCACTTATTATTATTTTTGTGTTTTTTAAGATAATAACACATGTTCGGAGTGAAATGGCTCTCACATATTTTAATTAATATACGTGAATCATCTTTATAGACTCGTGATTATCGATTCAGCTTTATATGATTATGATTGTTTCAAATAACATGATTATATTAACGTTTTATAAGAATTACGTAAAATTGATTGTGTAATGTTATATAGATTCGTTTTGCGTGCAGTAATTTTTTCTTTTTTTTCAAAAAGTATGGACCCCACAAAATGTTATGTGTAGGAAAATTTGTTGTGTCATGTTGAATGACAAATACAAATCCCTTATATTAATTACACATGAAAGAATTTTTCTATGATCTAACAGACCTATTAATTTGGTTTCGAGTTTGAATCTCTTTCTCTTCTCTAGATATTTGTTTATGGAAAGAGTGTTTGTCATTTTAAATAACATAAAGTTATGTCATTTTAAATGAGAGATAGACAGAAAATTTTTTTATTTAAATTTTAAAATTTAAAAAAACCACACACTTTCTCTCTCTCATGATTTTCACTTTTCTGTGTCTATCTATCTCCTAAAATGATATAACTTATGTCATTTAAAATGACAAACATCAAATCCTTTCTTTATTTTTCAGAATTTATTTTTGTTACAACAAATTCCACAATCTTACTATTTACAAATAAAAAACATAGATTAGGAGAGACACACTCGTTACAAAATCTCCAAACACCACCAACTTTTATGAAGATTTAAAGCCAACTAAAGAGAAAGAATTGAAAATTAAACACAAACCGCCATTGTTAACATGGGCGAAAGATTTTATTAATCAACTATGCCAACCCTTATTTGCAGATGGCCTTTTAGCAAACGATATTTTTATTAAGAGATTTTTTTTATTTTTTTATTTTTTAATATAGTAAGGGAGCTGAATTTACAACTGGAAATTTGGAGAAGGAACGTGAGACCAGGGAAAAGTTATCACAGGATAAAGGGTTACCTTTGACTTTTTTATTTTTATGTGAAATTTTTTACTATAAAATGTAAGAGAGTGAATAGTCAAGTTAGTCCTTAAAATATTTGTTACATTAGTCTTATGAGGTAGAAATTACTCTAAGGTGTGTTTGGGAGTCACTCTCAGGAGGAAAAGAGAAGGAAGGAGAAGGATCTTTTCTTTTATTTATGAGTTTTTAAAAAATTGGAAAAAAGGAATTGAAGATTATTGTAAAATCTTTCAAAATTCTTAAAATAAAAATTCTTCCAATTTGAGGGATATGGGAGGTAAATATAAAAAATTACTTATATGTCCTTACTCCCTTACATACCACCAAGAGCGATCAAAATTCGTCCACCAAGAAACACTATTGTCCCTCCACTACTAGAAAATACCATATTTTCAACGGAAACTTACTATTGCAAACAATAAAAATTCTGTCAAAAACATATTTTTCGGGTGAAATTTTCAATGGAAAATAATCCGTAAAAAATATAACTCTTCTATCAAAAAGTAAAGTTATAATATAAAATATTTATTTAATGAATTCCATAAAAATTTTTGATGAAAAATACTTCCGTCAAAAAGTTCCGTCACATTTTGCAATGGAATTTCTACAAGAATTTTGTTAAAAATTTCGACGAAAAATATTTTAGTCAAAAATTTCAACGAAAAATATTTTTGTCAAAAATTTCAATAGAAAAAAAAATGTCGAAAAAGATAACTAATAAAATTTTTGACATAATTTATTTTTCGTGGAAACTTTTAACTAAAATGATTTCTTCAATATTTTTAACGGAAAAAAATCCGTCGAAAGTTTTGATGGAAAAAAAATATGTCAAAAAAGATATCTAACAAAAATTTTGACAAAATTTATTTTTCGTCGAAAAACTTTTATTGGAGTATATTTCCGTCAAATATTTTGATTAAAATGATTTCTTCAATATTTTTGACAAAAAAAAAAATTGCAACGCAACTTTTTGACTAAACATTCCATAGTTAACATGGGGATAAAATTTGGTAGACAAAATAAATATTCAACAACCTCAAAAATAAATTTTATCTTTATAATCTTATTAGAGAAATGTAATATAAAATCATTGAAAGCCCATCACTTACAAGTTTAAACTTTTTAGTTGAACTAGTTGTTTTTTTTTTTTTTGGTAGAATGAATTAGTTCTTTACAAATCTACATAATATCTTTAAAAATTAATTTAACTATTTAGTCGAAGTTAAAGATTAACTTAATTTAGCATGAGGCAGTGATTTCTTTTGTGCTAGTAGAAAGTTACTCGCTAATTAAGTCATCCCATGGAAAGACCATCAAATGAGACATGAATGAAATATATTATAAAAGAGCACAATCAAAATTTGGAAAAGGAAAGTAAGCAAGAAAAACCATGTATAAGACTATAAGTGATAAAGATAAGCAAGAAAACAACAGCAACAACAACGTAAAGGGACATGGCGGACAAACAAATGGCATTCTTTCGTGAGGACTTGGATTAGTTACTAAGAAAATAACAATACACTAATATTGATTTTATATGACCGTAATCTTCTGTTTGTTGTTACTGCGAAATCAATAATTTTTTTTTTATATGAAGTGATTTCAGAAGCAGCTTCCTCCATCCCTTGTTCGAGAGAATTTTCCTTTCCTATTTTATATTCTCTTTTTTTTTTTTTTTTGATAGACTATATTCTCTTTTCTACTTTCTCTTTTATTGCAAGAAAATTTTGTTATTCAGAACATTGTATCACAATTAGTTAGTGGTATCTCCTAAAGTATTATTAATGTTGACTTTGTTTTATATGCTTTTAAGAGAAATAATTATGTGAATCAAATAAAAAATTACTATGCCAAATAAAATAAATATGTAAGTTCATAATAAGTTGAAGTGGTGGTAATTATATGATATGAAGCTTAACTTATCCCAAAACTACGAAATTGTTAATATATATAACAATGAAGCCGTAAAACGAAGAATTCCTGAATTGTGTGTGTAATCAGTCGCTTTCTTAGGCGAGAGGAAATGGACAAAAACAAAATCAAAAGAAAGATTTATTTTAATTAACATGACTTTAGAGGTAGAAAGGAGAAGTATATTACAAGAACCATTTCAAGCCAAAACTTTAATGTGTTAGATGACACATCACCTGGTATGACACAAGTTCATTTTTTAGTAAATCTTATGCTTTTTTTAAGCGAGAATCGAACTTGTGACCTTCTCTGATACTGTGATAAGAACCATTTCAACCCAAAATATTAAAGTGTTGGATAAACTAAATTATTTATTTTGTATCTCTCTGTAAATAAACAAATATGGAATACAATGACATATTGTACGAAAATACTTTTCTTCTTCTACGCTGACCTTTTCCTCACCTGCTCTCCTCTGTTTCCGCTTCCATCACTATCGTCTACACTTCAACACGTCTTGTTGGGCCACCTTCACGGCCCGTGGATCCACCATTCACTTCAATTTCATTACTATATACTGCAATACTTATCTAATCAAGAGTAAAATATTGTTTTAACTCTTCATATATACACCTTTATTTTCGTTTTAGTATTCATCAGTCATCACCAAAGACTTTTGATTCTTATTTCATTTTTGAACATGTGAATCTCTAAACAAGATGAAGGAGAATAAATCGCTTTGGGCTGCCATTAGAAACATTAAGAAAGGCACAACTTGACTCATGCAGTGTCACTTATTTGGTTTGTAAAGACTAAATGTATCAAGGCTTAGTAAGTCAACATAAGTTGGCCCAACAAAATTCCTCAGTAATCCATAAAAAAGAATCTCATTCCGTGACTCCGTGGGAACAAAACTTTGGTGCATTAAATGTATTTAATTGGGTATATTTTTTTCATATTTGATTTTTTTTACCACTTTTGAAAATTTGTATTCCCGCTGCATTGAAATTTTTTCTCATTTTGGAAAAAAATTATATTTAATTGTATACATCTTATACATCAAAGTTTTGTTCGCTATGGCTCATGCTCTTATTAACAAAGAGTAGCAGATAAAAAGAAAAGAAAGTAGCATTGGAATGTAAGAAGAGAAGTTATTTTTTTAACCAAAGCTGGGAAATGAAGACCTGGGATGCTCCTCGTGGTGTATGTGAAGAATTATTTTAACCCAAAATTTTCAAGTGTTGGGTGAGGGCCTTTCAACAGTTTGTATTATTTTTTAACATATCTCCTTTACGCAAGAGGCATTTGGGCTTTAAGAGTGGGTATTATACAGGTTCAATTTTTTGTTTATCTTGTACTTATTTTAATTTCATTATAAAGTGGTCGAACTTGTGATTTTATGGTCATTAAAGCTCTGATACCATATAAAAAATTATTTCAACCCAAAACTTTAATATATTATATGAGAATTTTGTTAATAATTTATATTATTTTCTAATATTCTCTTTCAAAATGATGATGTGGGAGGACGAATTCCACATATGTACTATAGCTAGCATATTTTGCTTCTTTTTCTGTTTGTCTTACTTTCTTAGTGTATCCCAACTTTTTTAAATATATATTAAAAATTAAAATAAAAGTCTAAGAACATTTCCAAATTCAATAATAAACAATAAATCTATCAAGAAAGAAATCACACACTACTGATATTATTTTTGTTTACCAAAAACAATAATGTTATTTTTTCGTAAACCACACAAATTATTAATGAAACTATGTTGAAATATAAGGCTTAATTAAAAATTTGTCTTTGTTAAATTTAACTAAGTTACATCAATAATTTATGGGGGGGAATTTGCTTATGTTGCAGGAATGACAAGACCATTTCCTATTGA